AAGGGGGGTAAAGAGGCGTCGAGGACAAACGCAGCTCTGCATGCAGCATTTGTTTTTGGTGTTAGTATGTTGATGCGGGGTGGTGGTGTATCTGCTTCTCCTTTTGCTGCTGCAGCAACAGCAGCAGCAGCATCTCCAGCTACAGCAGAAGCAGCAGCAGGAGTTGCTGCTGCTGCTGCTGCTGCTGCTGCAGATGCTGCTGTATTATCACCACAAGCTGATAGAAAAAATACTTCTGCTGCTATTGAAAAAGAAATAGAGGGTTTATGTTCTCTGCTGCAGCTGGTGGGGTCTCGTGCTGAGGTGCAGCAGCTGCTGCAGCTACACAACAGCATTGACTTAGTTATACCCCGCGGCAGCAACAGTTTAGTTTCTTACATTCAATCAAATACTAGTATTCCTGTTATGGGGCATTCTTCAGGTGTATGCACAGCTTATGCTGATGCAGACTGTGTCGATACACCGCAACGACTGCAGCAAACAATTGCTGTTATAAGAGATAGTAAACTTCAGTATATTGCTGCATGCAATGCTCTTGAGGTGCTGCTTGTGCATGCAGCAGCAGCAGCAACACTGCTGCCAGCTCTAGGAGAAGCATTAGCAGCAGAAGGGGTTCAGTTTCGTGCGGATGCAGCAGCAGCAGCTTTGCTGCCTGCAGCAGCAACAAAAACAGCAGAAAAAGAAGATGAACTCTTTACTGAATNGCAGCAGCAGCTTTGCTGCCTGCAGCAGCAACAAAAACAGCAGAAAAAGAAGATGAACTCTTTACTGAATGGTTGGCCCCTATATTATCTATTAAGATAATTGAGAATATAGATAAAGCAATAGAGTTAATAAATATATATGGATCGCATCATACAGATGTTATACTTTCTTTCTCACCAACAAATATAGAGAAATTCATGAGGTGTATATACAGCGCAGATGTTTTCTCTAACTGCAGCACAAGGTTTGCTGATGGATTTCGCTTTGGCTTCAATGCAGAAGTTGGTATTGCAACAGGGAGAACGCATGCACGGGGCCCGGTGGGGGTTGAGGGTCTATGCAGCTATGCATATAGATTATATGGGGGGGGTCACACTGTTGATGCTATTGAAAAACAAACTGCTGCTGCTGCTGCTGCTGCTGCTGCTGCTGCTTCTGGTCATACTGCTGCTACTGCTGCTGCTGCTGCTGCTGGGTTCACACATAAACCCATGCTGCTGCTGCAGCCCACAAACTGCACTCTTGAAACAGAGGAAGGCATCGACGCCTACGAGCGTAGCCGTCTCTTGTCGCGATGATTAGTGACCCATTTGAATTTATATTTATATTTATTTATTTCATAAAATATATTCTTAATAACTTTGTTTATACAGGGTCACTCTGGGTAGCTGTAACGCTTACTCTCTGGCCTGAATCACGAGCACAAGCTAGCTGTGCTGCAGTGTAGATAAAGATTTCAACAAAAAGTTTCAGCAGTTCTCAGAAAACCTTGGCCTTGGGCTCAGGCCTGGGTGTTGAGGGAAGGATTCAACTTGAAATATCGTTGCAGCCGCTTCGCTGCGGCTGGTAGTACAGGCCAGTCTCAGGCGTGCACAGAAAACAGCATCAACGAAGCTTTCTTTACTGCATGGTTTACCTCTGAATACACTTATAGAGGGGGTTTATTGGCTTTTATGCAAATTACCAAGGATAAGTGAAAGCTCTTGTGCTATTGGTAGGAAAAACGCGCTACAGTCTCACTACATTTACCTGTGGAAACCTTCTCGTCTGCAGCTGTCAGCTACGTTCTACTGTTATAGCTGCAAAGAGAAAAACAAANCCTGAGAATTGAAGTTTAGCTGCGTATTCCCCCCCCCCCCACCCCAGCCAGGTGGAACCTGAACAAGTTGCTGTGGGTGGGTGTGAGGGATTCAGTGTTTGCAGGCGTCTGCGGGGGCGATTCAGAAGTAAATCAGCAGAAAATGAACAGAAAAACAAATTAAAAGTGAATAAACGCATGGATAAACGAGCAAACGAACGAATACATAGACGTGCAAGCTGAGGATCTTAGGTTGCAGATGAGGCGTCAGTAGGGCCAACACTGCCACCTTCTATCGAGAAAAAATGACGTTACCGGTGTGTTTGTTCAACTCCAATTCATCATTTTAATTATTTTAGATGAAAAAATTGAACTGCGGACGTGTAAACACGAAGAACAAAGCCTCTCGTGCGGCGGAACCATTCCACCGGTCGGTGGTGGTGGTGACCCCATTCAGTTCAATTTGCGGGGTTTTTGCGCGTTTCTGCCCCGAAAAGGCAAAAATTAATGTAATGTTTGCATTTAACACAAAATTTGATGGTATTTACTGCTTAAAAAGGAAAAAAATTACGTGTTTCCGGTCGTTCTGCGCGCAGCAGTGAGCTGCGATGCTCCAGAGAACCACTGGCTTGCAACCCTCCGCTTGCAAGCTGTTGCGGCGTGGTTTGCTAACCAGTGCAACTCGGCGGTTACTAGCTGTTGTTNACCCTCCGCTTGCAAGCTGTTGCGGCGTGGTTTGCTAACCAGTGCAACTCGGCGGTTACTAGCTGTTGTTCCTCGTCACTTTTTTGTTTATTGAATTTCATGGATTCTGTACATCTCTCAGTTTTAATCGCATACCGTGGCCGAACACTTTGACTGCCGTCGACTATTTCCTTGACTTTTTGCAACAACGCGAACTCGCGTGAGTTGAACACAACTGCCTGCATTCTCTAGCTTTCCTCTCGGTTATAAGTGAACAAAATGAATGATAATTTTTCTTCATGATTTGTTTTATCTTAGTTTCCCTCCACTTAGCCAGGTTACTTGAGAACGAGAGCGAGTTTGTGGCGTGTTTCCTATTGAATTTGTTGGATGTTTCCACGTTGGTGTGTGTGCCTCTCTGCTGATATCGCTGTTGAAACCTCAGGAAAATGGAGTATCCGACGATCGCACCCATCGCTAACCAAAAAGACCGCCGGGTTCCGGTGTTCATTCCTCGTGCTGCTCAATACCCGCCTGGTTGCTACCCGCCTCAGCCCTATGTGAGGCAGCAAATGCATATGCAACAACATATGCAACAGTTTCATCTGCAGCCTCAGCGGCAGCATCGTCAACCCTACAGAATTCCCCCAAAGATCCGTATCAACCGCCTCGTTAACACCAAGTTCTGCAGCCGTTATCTCGCTAAGGGATTTTGCAGGAAGCGCGATTGCACCTTCGCCCACTCCGTGGTAAGCAGCGAAGCCATCTATCTGTTTTCTTGTATTCTCTTTTTTCTTTGTTTTATATTTTATTCTTTCTTTGTTCCCTTCATTCTCTATCTCTTCTTGTTCACCCTTCCTTCGGTCTACACTGTTCCTCGACGTGCTCTGCTTCCTCAGCCCTCTTCTTCCTTCTACAGCAAGCAGCAATAATACCAATAAAAACGATAATAATTAGGGTAATAGAAAATAATAAAAACGAGCGAATGCAATATGTTTTGTTTTCAGGAAGAGTTGCGTCCTACCCCTGACTTGCGTTGTACAAAGTGGTGTCGTTTCGTTTTCTTTGGCCTCGAATGTAGCGATTCCCATTGCCCTTATGCACATTCGCAAGAAGAATTTCAACCCCAACCAACAGAACTCAAAACGATTCCCTGCAAATTCGCTAGACGTGGAAGATGCCTCAATGGTGATAACTGCAGGTGCGGCCTCCTCATATATATATACATATATATATATATATATATATATATATATATATATATATATATATATATATATATATATATATTGTATACTGCATATATATATATATATACACTAATTATTTGTTGCGTTTCGTGTTATGTGTTATATGTATCTGTATTTATTTCCTTGTTGTTTCACTGTTTGTTTGTTTCTGTGTATAGATTTCTGCATCCTCATGAGATGAGAGGCGTGCCCCGTCCCCGCCCCCAGAGAGTGCAGCGGTTCGTCCGGCGTTATGGTGAGGAGTCTTTGGGTGAACCTACAGTTGAAGAAGTACCTACAGTAGTGCAAGAAGAAATTGCAGCAGTTCCTCTGCCGTCACCACGCCCCGAAGAGATCAAAGAAGAGATAAGCATGACACCGTTCCCTACAGTTTCTCCCGCAGCAGCAGCAGCAGCAGCAGCAGCAGCAGCAGATGTTACTGCAGCAGAAGAAGAAGCGGAAGAAGAAAAAGAAGAAAAAGAAGAAGTCGTATATTCTCACAGCCCTGGCACTCCTCGCACTGTCGATAGGATTCGGCCCCTGCTGCGCAGCCCTTGCATTGTAGCGGAAGAAGAAGAAGAAGAAGAAAAAGAAGAAAAAGAAGAAGAAAAAGAAGAAGAAGAAGAAAGAGAGTCAACACAAGACGAAGGGGAAAGCAGCAACGATCTTGATAATATAACAAACACAACAACAACAACAACAAGAAGAAGAAGAAAAGGAACAACGCTTATTCCTCATACTTTATCTCGCGATTCAACTCGTGATGAATTACATAAATCTGTAGAAAATATTATAACTGCTGTAGATAACCTGGGGTTAGCTGATGAGCCTAATTAATATATTGATTGGCATTTTCCTCTTTTTATATAAAATGCTAATACAAAAAAACCCATAGAAAACAATCTCTATGAAGCAGATTAAGCAATACACACCAGCAGCAGCAACTGCTGCAGCAGCAGCAACTGCTGCAGCAGCAGCAACTGCCGCAGCAGCAGCTATTGCTGCAGCAGCAGCAACTGCTGCAGCAGCAGCAACTGCAGCAGCAGCAGCTGCAGCTGCTGCTCTGGTGTTTGTTGTGGTGTTTGTACTCTTTGTATTCTTATGAACACAAACAGAGTACATCACCAGCAACCAACTGAAGTTTTTTCTCTGCTTTCATCGTTCTGGGGTGGAGTGAATGTCAGCAGCAGCTGGCACCTCTTATAAGTATTTAAATGCAGTATTGCTCTTATTTATAACAAATATTTTAATATACTATTTTTATATATAATATGTAAATTTAATTGTCTACTTGTTCCGTAGCT